CCAAGCCCACCATTCCTTGCGGCTTTGAGTCTTCTCCCTCCAAACGCGACCTTCCCAGCTGTTAATATAATCTTCCAACGTCGAACATATAACCACCCTGAACGTCGTGGTAGGGGGGTCTACGTGATCTAGTCCGCTCGTGAGCATACCAGCCGATGATCAAAGTCGTGTCCGGCCCATCGTTGCTTCTCCCTTCTGCCTTTGAATCGAGGACTCCCGTTCACTGTCTGATCACGTGTTGGGGACATGGTCGCGACGTGAAACTAACAACATTCATCTTTCCGTGACTCTCCTGGTGGCTGATTGCTGGCATTATGCAGCTTTGGCGAATGACCACCTCTCACAGCCATACAACAATGCCGTGGGGTAGTAGAATCGTAAAGGTGAGCAGAGGTTTCTTTCCTGATGTTGCCTGGGAGAACGTCCCAATGAAATGAAACTCACGCGAATCAGTCCTCTTTCTCCGTTGAAAATCTTCAGCCGGATTGTGCCAAGATAAACGTATTCATTGACTTCTACAGTATTTCGTTGATTTATATTACCTGGGTCTAGTACATGTTTGAAATTTCAAAATCTGTTATAGGTTATGCCATCATGCCAATGCGTTATGTGGTATTCTTATGGCAGTCACTTTTAACCATGCTAAAAGAAATTGTTCAGTCTTTTCAAATTTTCACTGTGACGGTGGAATGTTGCCAGACGGTGATTCGAATCATCTGAATTAACCGTGTTGAGAGATCTGGAATTAAACCTTTTGTGGGAAAGCATTTTATAACTGCTGCTTCAAGGAAAGACCAGACCTTGTAGATGACTTGATCATCATTCCAGCGAAAATGCGAAAACAGATTTGTCATTAAGCAAATGCAACATTCACCGGAGTTCAATAGAATTAACATAATGATCTGACAACGCTAAAGCGCAAAGTGTTGATTTCGATTATTTTGTTCAGTGTGCATATCTATTTTCTTTGCGTTATCTTACTTTGCCTTTTTTGCGGTCTTTCAATGAATCCAACAGTCCTAGACGTTTGTTTCCAAAACCCTGAAATGGTCGTAAAGGTGTGCAATTCCTCATATAAATCACCAGGCTAACGATCACCAGCTGGAAAAATTGCACCACCGTATTTACGCTGATCCGGTTGGCACATTTATCAAGGCC